CCAAGATTATTCGAACAGATCATGTCTTAATCGGAAGAACATGAGAAGTCACATTTTGATAGAATCTGCCTGAAACGAAAAAATAGAGGATAAAAGAGGAAACTTAACTAACATTTTTAGAAAAATGTAGGTAAAGTTATCGACATATTCGTGTTTTTCCATCCTATATTCGTTTGGTGATCTGTGCCAATTCGCTCTTTTGTTGTGCCAAAAAGAGCTCATCGAGCTCTCTTAGAAAACATAATTTATGGCACTTCATTATTCTAAACGAATATGGGATCCAAAAAACGTTTTTTGTTCGCTGGTAAAAAAGCGACATCCTTGTATACTACTATCGAAAAAATAAAAGAATGCGCCAGGTTCTTTTGTTGAATATCTCGTGAACGAAAGAGCTCGAGAGTTCTTTTATTGAAAACGAGCACTTGAAACAAAAGTTTTAACGTCATTAAATAGCCCGTAAATTAAGTATATTTCACATTATTTGAATCTTAAAAGAGAGTACCTCCGATTTTTCGCTAAATGTTCGCCTGAATGCCCACTGTGGGATGGTCAACAATGTTCTTCCTCCAGATCGAAGATCCCGCCACTGCCCAACGATGGATCTGAAGCGTGTGAGGGTTCCTGGACTGGAAGATTTACTGTACATGAGATGTGTAATATGCAATATGAAGTAATATGCAAGAATGCGGAGATGTGGAGTTATTCTTGTATTTATTTCTAACTTGTGCAGTGTTATGCTTTGATTTTCAACTTCAACTTCTCTTTCCGAAATATCAGTTCTGCAGCAGTAATAACACTTGGTAATATAACTTGTTCAATCAATCAGAAATTCTGACTATGTTGTACTTATGTATGCACTACTAATTAGTTAGTAAACTATTGAAGAATGCGAGAATGCTAGGTACTTTGACAAAAAATACTCTTTTTTCTTGGGAACATCTCTCATGCAACGGTGCAGAGAATAAAATATTTTGAAGTAAGATAAACATGTACGAGATATTAGTTTTGATAGAACACATAGATTATGTGAATAAAAACAAGCTGTTTATACTATAAAAGTAAGATAGATCGTCCAGTTTCATTGGTTTTTTTAGTTAATGTAACCAAATTTCGAGCATGATTATTGCTATTGTCTATATGCGAAAATTTTAATGATCCCTGCGGGTAATATGTTCTTTCATCATCCTTATGATTCATGATTATTGCATAAGTGTTATGTCCTTATTTGCATCATTTTTATTCCGTTATTTTCTTTTTTTTCTTTTTCTTTCATGCTTATCCTTTTGTAACGTAAAGCGGTTTTCGACGAAAGCACGTACCCATTCCGTCCATTTTGTAATTTGTACAGATCATACATTCACGTCGTAAAAATCTTAGCTCATAATACGCAATAATTAAAATTAATCAACATAGAACATTACGGAACTGTTGAATACTCAAGCTCAACTGTCACGTACTGGACTATGTTCAGGTAATAGTCAACTAATAGAGAACATATTACCTTCGACCATATGTTCTACAAATATTTATGATAAATTGTTGAATGAATGCCATTTTGATAATATGATTCATCGGTCTAATCCAGTCCCACGTGCTGTATGTATTCAGGGAATAATTGAAGACGATGGTAGTTATCTATTATACAGACATTCAGTCGATATTCAACTAATATTACACTCCTACACACAAACTGTTCAATCTATTGCTGATTATTTATCCAATTATATGAATCAACGTTTTAATCATGCATTAATTCAACATTATCGAACTGCTAATGATAATATATTGTCTCACTCCGATAAAACGTTAGACATAATTAAAAATAGTTTAATTGTAAGTTTGAGTTTATATAAAAATCCATCTGGTTCTATTCGTACAATGACATTAACAAATCAAATCAACTGATGTCCAATTGGTACCATTACCGCATAATTCATTATTTGTATTAGACTTGTAATCAAACATCGATTATTTACATGCTATTAATAAAGACAGTAAGCAGATACAATCAGCTGATAATAATCCAAGGATTAGTCTTACATTTAGATCAATAGGAACATTTGTAAATTCTACTAAACAATTGTGGAGACAAGGAGCGATACATAAAACAAAGGATGAATTATTATATGCAGCCAATCGGTTTTCGACTATGAATGATATTGATACGGTAAAAGCTGAATGGTCACGCCTCAAGAATGCGTTTGATGCAGAAAACTTAAATGATTTTGATTGGGAATATTATTATGAAAATGGCTTTGATATTATTGATAAAAGTTCATTAATGGAATCATACAAACGAACAGCAGTCAGTAAGGAAAATGATGATCAAGACTTCGTTACATGATGATCTGATAGAATGAGTAAAAAGATCATCAGAAATATTGTAAAATGTGATAAGGTGTCCGATATGCCGAGATTTGATTTGGTCATAGCATAAATTTTTTTATTTATTAGTGCTCATTTGAATCACAAACTAACTAATATACAAAATTTTGTTAACAAGTCTTTATTTAAGAGGTATTCATCACTCTTCTCATAATTACAGCGCGAATGCTGAGTTTTACAATAGATGCGTGTTTAAAATATAGATTTCCATTTTATTGTCCAAAAGCCATTTTTGGATAAACTTATTGTTTTTAACATTCATGAATGCTCAAAAGCAGCCGTTTTTTTACAATCACTTAGCAGGAAACATTTTAATGAAAGCTCGGTGGACAGAATATAAGTTAAAGACCAGAAAATAGTTGAATTTGAGCAAAAAATAAAATGTATGTATCGCTAAGGGATACATATATCAAGTAGAATAGGTATCTCAAGCTTGACTTCTTGAAATTTCTTGAATTCTTATATTTTCTTATCAAGATGTTGAATCAAGATCTTACTGAAAACATTCAAGAAGTCAAGATCTGGGTTACAAGAAATTTCACTAGGACTTCCATTGAATAGAAACAACTTCTTATTTTGTTATCGTGTAGTTGTGGTGATTATTTTTCTTCATACGTTTTGCAGTTTATGTTTGCTACTGTTTCCGACTTTTTCACAATAGAACCATAGTAAAAAAATATGTGATTCTCAGGGAAGTATATTCGGCAACATTGCCCGATCGGGCAAGTGACAACGGACTGTCAGTGCGGCCAGTATCAATTTTTTTCGCTATTTTTGCGGTTTTTCGGAAAAATCCTGTTTTCTTCGAAAAAAAAGCGTTTTTTGAGAATTTTTTATAATTTTTTTGCCGCATCTCGATTGCGCGTAGTACTGTTGAATTCCCCGTGTTGTGAGCTCTCGATTGCGCGTAGTACTGTTGAATTCCCCGTGTTGTGAGCTCTCGATTGATGTGTGACGCATGTTCTTATATATTTCTTTCAGTGCAAAGTTTCATAAAAAGTTTTCGTTCGGAGGAACGTACGTTGTTCCTAGGAAATCTCAACGAATATGAGTCCGGTACTCGGAAATTTTCACCACAGACTTAGTAAACGATGGACAACAAGATGCACGTTTCAGATTTTTTCTAGGTGCACTTTCAGTTTTTTTTACCAATTGTACAAAAAAAGTTATGATTGACCCATATACGGGTGACACATAACTTTAAAGTGAAGGACATTTTGTCTCATGCAGGCGACCAATGTAAACGTAGAGCAAATAAGATTTTTCTCATTTCAAAGTTAAACAAACTATAAGACGAGTTAGAAAGTTTCGAAGTATAGATCAGTTTTTACACATACTCGTCAGGAGCGAAATTGCTGATTAGTTTTAGACGTATCATCAGTTATGCTGGTACTTCGGACAGACATGAGGATTGCACAGTGTACATTCAGGCGGACATTTAGCAAGAGAATCGCAGTGCTCTGTTTTCCAAAACAAAAACGACATAAACTCTGAATCTTGGCTCTTCATTAGCTGAATTAACGAAAAGGTTTGCCAGTTTCGACTTGCAATGTCGGAGAAACAAATTTATTTTCCAGGTTAACTAAGTTTTCGTAGACGTTTAGTCTGTGTATCTATGAAATGTTAGCGCTATAATTACACTTTACATGACAAACGCCGTAGAAAGTGTAAACGAGGAGTGTGTATGACCAATAGAAGATCAGATAGTGTTGAGTTTGATACGCTTACTAGAATATATGAAACAATATCTAGTTGTATGATAAAGTAAGAACTACATCATAAAGATCTTCCCTATCACGTTCATTAATATTCATAAATCATAATTTGAGTAGTTGTAACATTAAGAAATGTGTATTTATATTTCGATGCTCTTGCAATTATTCGAGTAAATATGGGTATGGCGACTAATTGTATTGATATATTATTATTGCTTATGTAAAATATCATCGACTGAGCCGGTGAACGCCAGCAATCACCATAAAATCGACCTGATGCGTCCATATATATTGACCAAAATCCTTTTGAACTAACAGTGTCATTTAATGTTTTTATTAGTGAATTATTTTGTTGTCTTAAATCTGCAATTTGTAGACCAACACCTGTGGGCACATATAAATAATTATTAATAACAATACATGATTCTAAGAATAAACCAAATCCGATTAGATCATACAAATGTTGGCCCGTAAACTTTGAAAAAACTTTTATTGTTGAAAGTGGTCCCAGACCAATGACATATTGATCCGATATGCAGACACCACCGTATAGATTAACATTATCTAGAGTTATATTAATTGTTGAACCGTGAAAAAGGAGTAAATGAAGAGATGTTGCATCAACAATGGCAAAATTTTGAAATAAATCCATATCAAAATAAAGAATTGATATATTTGGATAAAAATAAATTGTATCTATCAACATGTAACTACTAGGATCATAAACGTTAACAATATTTGTCATTATTTGCGGAAGAAAGATACCTGAACAACAGCAAGAAACATGTGTTAAGAGCAAAGGGAGACAAGCGTTTTCACAGCTTCTGTGGTTCTTTATGGTCCCATTTGGCTTCTAACATCTTCAAAAGTCTCCTTTTTATTATATCCATATACTTCAGTCGAGTGTGAAGGTTAACATATAGGTTTTTTACTTCTATACGTAATGAAAATGTAAGAGCAATTCTGCAGGTGATTATTCATCATTTTCCAGGCATAGATCTCAGTCTTTTGACCAAATACACCCTCTCCATAGGACTTTCAATAACTCCGCTAGGCTTCTGACGTCTACGAGAAACAGTTATTTTCCTATGATTGAGAGTCATAATACCTATTGATGTTATGGATGGCTGTCTTGCTATTGATGCATTTATTGTTTGAATTAGTTGCATTTGTTGAAGAGTTTGTTGAAGAGAAATGGGTGATTTTCTTGGTGTTGCAAAACACAAATATGATAGGTCTGTGGACAGTGAGTATGATGGACATATTGTGAATTGGATAACTGACGCTCCTATATATGATATTATTTGTCCAAGATAAGAATATTCTTCATAAATGGTACAAATAAAGACAGGATAATGCACATAAACAGCTGTACGGCAATAATCATTATTTTGACATTGATATAAACATTCACGGAAATTGTTTGCACTCTGATTCAACGCCAAATTTTTATGATATGCTGCTACATAGATACTATTGGGAATAATGGATACAAAGCTAGATCGAACAGGATACAGCGTTTGTTGCTGATAGGTTAAATGAAAGGTAAACATGAACAGAATAAGAATATTCATCATTGATGCCTATGAAAGAGATCGAAAGCAAAACGTAAATAGCACACACAAGATTGATCAAATAGAACCTACGAGTTTACAGTCATGAGACAAAACGGCCTGGCCAGCTAACTCTACCTGCGTACGTAATTCCGTGACGTTTTTCTATGATTTTGTTTTATTTGCAGAAATTTTTGAAAAAGTCAGAACTCAAAAGTAAATAAACCAT